AACAGCTAACACTGCATTCACCTAACATCTCCCAAAGCTGTTTGTACAGTACCTGGAAAAGGGGAATTTTGTAAACCAAATACAGCATTAAATTGACCAAAATCACATTTGTGGAGAAACTGCAGCTAAAGGGTGACATATTCATCTGCACAGATGGGCAAGTACCACCGGCTGCTGATGGCCATGGCTTTTTTGAGTCTGACTTCTGCTGAAACAGAGAACTGGAAGAGACATTCTGTGTAATCTTGTAACTTAATAAATAGTGAATCATCGTATTTTAGGAGATTAGTGACATCCTGGAAAATATATTTAAATACAACCAGTGGAGAATCATAGATAAAACCATTCATAGATTTTAATACTCTGTTACATACTAGTAATCCAGACTAGATTAAGAATGTGATCTTTTACACAACCTGGTAAATTTCTTCAAAAATGTTAAAACCAGTTTTATTAGCGTTGCTGTAGAAGTGCTGGGGCATTGGGAGTCTATTATTCCTCAGATAAAAGGCTTAATGTATTTTTTAAACTCAAAAATATGTTGCCATAAGAGAAGCACATGTTTAATACTAGGGTCAACTTGGTGAACAGGCCTGTGATTTCTTTTTATCTATATGAATACTCAGGCCACCATTTTATTCTCTTATATAATCTGAAATCATTACACTGACTTAACACATTTAAAGCAGTCCATACCTTTAAATAGGTTACCATACAGTCAACATTGGCACTATTTCTATTTCAAAGCAGTGTGCTTCATGAACACATAGCTTATTCTAAAGTTCAAATAGTCAAGAGTATAAAATAAACAGGCACTTAAAGAAATGACTGGATTCTGTCTGTTTAGAACCTGAAGAATTTTTCAAGCACCACTGACTGGGTCCTTCCCCTGAATTCTGGAAATGTCTCAGAAGACAAAAGATAAAAATATTTCTAAAAATTCAACTTGTTCCCTTTATTATATAAACATTCTGCAATGAGGGTATCAAAAAAGGATTCAGACCGAGTTAACAACATTTTTTACATTCCTAAAGCAGAACTGATTGCACAGAAAGACGAAGTTGTCAGGAGTCTGAGATTTTACAACATCTAAATGTCAGGACAAAAAAACAGCTACAAAGAAAATTGAAATGCACTTTTAAGTAATGTCTTCATACAAGAACTTGATATAAAGGTATTTCATGCTCCAATTTCTCTACAGAATTTAGGATTTCACATGTTCAGCAGTCTCCTCACAGCTGTATATACCCTATTGTCATGTTCCTCACCCTTCTTCAACCATTAGAAGCAGCACAAGTGGAAGCATCATACTCACTGTAATTTCAGCTATGAGGTTTTAACTATCTCCCATTATGAGCAGACCACGTACATGTTTGTCCACTTGAACTTTGAGAAACCAGATTGCAAAATAAAACACCTTACTCCTTTAGTACACTTCCTCATACCAATACAAACTGGTTTATGCATTACTTTTCCATCAAAAAATGTTGAAATCCATCAAAGCCTAAAGAGTTCTGGATAACAGCACTCAGCCAAAGAAGCAAATAGAGCTGAGCCACTAAGCAACAGTGTCCATAACAGAACCAACAAACCAGCTTCTGGACACCTTGATACAGCTGGAGTTGCTAGAAATGTGAAAAAATGAACAAACCAGGAAGGAGATCTAACATCAAAAAATGAGGACATGAAAATTAAGAGCCTCAGCATGCAAAAATCTTAAGAATAAGAATGTACCTATATACCTTAAGAGTATAAGAAAGCAGAAAAATAAATTTATACTGTCCTTTTTTTAATCACTCGTAGGTCATTTATGTTTCAGTAACTGTAATTAGGAGGAAACAGCAAATCAAGAACAAATTCTGAAACTCTACCATCTTCCAGACTCTTTTGTCCTAATGAAAGGACATTACCGGTTAGATTAAAGCAAACCTCTAGTAACAACAACAACAACAACAAATTAGTTTCTTAATGCATATCCAATAGGATTCATTTCATCTCAGCAAATTCCTTCAATGAAATCTCAGGGAAAAAAAAAAAAGCTCTCAACTTTCTATGTATTCATCATTTGGAAGAGAAAATACTTCAAAACCAGATTCTACGTTTTGTAATATATTGCATTGAAAATGGCAGTCCAGAAACCAAGTCACCCAGGAGATTTTGATGTGTGATACATGAGCTTGTGGGTTTTTCCTAATTCACTCCATCGCTTAGAACCTCCAAAACCCCACCAGACCGTCCGTGACACTGGTTCTGTGCTTTTGTCCGCCCTCTGCTGTCTGAAACGCAGAAAGTTGTCACCGGTGCTACAATACCACATTTGATCATTGTAGTTCCATGATCAGTTAGAAATCAATTGAAGAAAAGAGGAAACGGAATAACAGAGGCAAAACGCAGTGGTTCTACATTAACAGAATATCGTGGAACACCTCAATGATGCAGATTTTAAACTTAATCTAAGATTTCCATAGATGTGTGTAACGATGCTAACCACAGGGGGAACAAAACTATGAAAACTACCTTGGAAAGCAGATTTCTAAACAGTACTGGTTAAAACAGCCAAAAGAGTTACTCTTTCAAATGGAATTGCCTTTCTGCTGGCCACAGGAGCCACATCCTGGATAACTTTGATAAAATCATTGCTACTGAACTCCAAGAAGTGCCTTACTGTACTTTGCATCTACATGAAAAAGTCTCACTTTAAAACTCCAAGTCCAGACCTTGCCTTCTGGCCCTCCAAATAGCGCCTAGCTTTAAACTGTGCTTCCTGACTGCTGAAGAATTTTTTTTATAGCACTGGCTGACTGAAATGGATTTCCTTTTCTTCCTGTTTCTCTTCAATAATGAATCTGTGATGATGAATGTGATGAATTCTTCCAAACTGTTATACCATGACCAGACCCATTAAATGTCTGACTCATACACACATGACTATCGTCTCTAATAATAAAAATCATCATCTCAAAGCTTGCTGTCATCCAACCTGTCACTGAAAAGCAAATAAACATTTTTTCATCCCCACTTGCTTTTTTGTCTCATTCTGACATTCTTCAACATGTTTTCACCCATCCATTTACCATGCAACATCCTTTAATCCATAATGGACACTGAGAAGAGTCACATCAACAACAGGTGCTGCAGACCTGGGAACAGAGCAAGTGAAACTGTGTAATGGTGATTTACATTACTAATTGTCCTCCAAAACTTACTGGCATGTGCATTAATGATGAACTTTGATCTTCTCATTAGTTCACGGGAGAAAGAAGTGATAGGAATGAAACCAGGAGTTCCAATTCATCCACTGCTGTAACTGCACGGAAGTCTCTTTTTTGTTGTTGTTTTTTGGTTATGAGTTGAAGCAGAAGGCATTTAACTACAACATAACTCCTCCATTTCTTCCTGGCATTCACTCAACATAAGGGAGCTGACAGCAAAGAACTCTTATCCAGGAGAGATCAAGAACGGACTCACACTACTCCTCATTCAGATTTTCTTATTAAAGTGCTTCCCCTTTAATTTGTCTTTAATCAAGAAAAGTTACTTTACATAATCAGACACTTCCCATATGAGAGTGAATCAGCACCCTAAAAGAGCTATGGAAATACCCTCCTGTCTTCAGTACATGGTCCCAATTGCTGGATTGCCATCACTAATAATAGTTGAATTGTCAACTAGAGAAAAGAAAGAATGAAAATACTCAGAAAACACCTGCCTCCTACACAGTCAGGTAGCAATTTTGGTAGATTTCACAATAATTTCTCCAAATGCCAAGCTTCTTCAATGAAGGCCTAGTTAGACCACTGCCATCAGTATAATGCTGCAGTACATGGCAACACACATCTGGTATCTTCACCAGCCTAATGCCAGCACAAATGGCACAGACACTCATTTTAAACCTGTTAATCAACCCAGAATCTACTCTGTGGCATTGCTGTATGCAATCCATCCTTGTACTTGATAGGTGTTCTTGTATTTTACCACATTGACCCTGACATTCTCCAGAGGGGTCATACTCAGTAACATGTATAAAGAAGGTCCTGTTCCATCACGTGCAACACATGGTATCCAAAGGACAAAGGCACGTTCTTGTTCTTACACTGGATTTTCTCACGTGAGAAGCAAAACAGAAATGACTGAGACAGATGTCTACAATTGCTCACAGAGGAAGCTGTCCTCATTTGTGACTGATTGAGCAAGGATCAGTCTATTTATAAGATCAAATCTGAGCTATCTTTACCTGAGCTATTTCTCCAAAACTTCCAATTTCTCACTGATATGCAGAAAGCACAAGGCAGACCATTTAAAACAAAACAGGCTGGCGGCCGTGTATAAATCTTCAATCCATAATTCTTAACAGAGTTCTTAGTGGATCTAATAAAATCTCTAAAAACCTGATTTTATTTGCATCATTTCTTGCAGCAAATGAAAAAAGAAAATTACAGACTGTAACTCAACATGTCCGTGGGAGGTCACCAAAACCCACTCTGATAGAGCCTCTTTGCCCATTTTATGTGAAATGCATTGTTCCCAGCTTCCACAACAGTCTTTATTATGACAAACTTCACAAACACCTCAATGGAACAGAGTAAAGCTCACCCATACAAATTTCCAGGATGTGGACAGCATCAGTGACATTCTCTCAGTTACCAACAGATGCTTTGTTAATAAAACTTGCATATACAAATGTCCACAAAATGTCTTAACAAGATCAGCTGTGACAGCTAACAATAACAGCTGCCACCATGCTATGTCATATCACATTACTGCAGAGACCTTTTTTTTTGCACATTGTTAACTCAAGAACATTGACTACAAACAAATACACTTATCTACAGAGGAACTCCAAGTGCAAGATACTTTGCATCACTTCTGCAGAAGAGCAGTGACTCTGAGGACCAGATAGGAAAATAAGTTTGAACAGCTGGAAATTATAATTGCAGTGTAACACAGCAAAGTCAAACACTGGTTCCTAGAGTCAGCCAAAAGCCAAAACACAGACCTACCTTAAGATACAGAAGCAGCTCTTGGCCCCAGAAGATAAGCGACAGAATCCAAACCTCTGTTTGCTGTCAATGTCTGTAAGCACAAATGTAAAGTTCTGCCCAACTTGGTTAACTGCATGGCTGAAAATAAAGAGAGTAAGAGGAAAAAAAAAATTAATGCTGAGCTGACTGTGTCAAAAGTATGCAGTCAATGTCATTGAACCTGTAACATTTCCTCTTTCAGAAGTGTTTCGTGGAGAAATTAACTTTGTGAGTATACACCCTCTAGAAACTTGAATATTCTAAGTTGCCTGGGGAGGGAGGAGTGGGCCTTGGGTTGGCTTTTCTGTATTTTAAGTGTGGGAGGATACTAAAAATGTGTTTCTCTTTAAATGAAAATGGTTATGACTATCAACCACCGTCAGCGCAGTACACACTGTGCAAACCAAACCCATGTTCTCTCATAGAACCCAAAATATTTCCTTATTACTCTTCATTTGAAAATTGGTTTACTCCAAGAGCAAGTCAATGTTTAATAACACGCTAAGCTTCTCCAACACTTGGATATTGACTTGTAGAAGCTTTATTTATCTATCTACCAATTTTGCATGTATGCCAGATACATGATTCCAAAATGTTCAGCAGCTGGAACCACGCCAGGTGACTCTCCTTTACTCTAACAGCTAAAGCCTAGAATAGTGTGCAAAGGAAGATAAGCCAAACCAGAAGCACAAATACAGTGTGCTAGAGCCAGCCATGACTATAGAAATCATCTTGGAGGACTTTTACATGCTTTTTCACAATTAAGAGTAATTTGCCTCAACTGTAAGATCTTAACAGCTCTTCAAGAATAGCACAAGTGAGCTAATAACATTCTCAAACATTGGCTCCTACTCACACCACAGGGGAAAGCATCACTGTAGGAAAGTTTGCCCAAACTGGAACAACACAGTGACAGAAAACAAAACCACAAAAGAAAAAAAACAAAAGCCAAGAACCAAACCACACAAACAAGCAAAAAGCCCCAAACCTGAGCATTTAAAAAGACGTCCTTAAAAATACTGCAATTTGCATCTGTATCTGACCACTAATAAGTGGTGCTTGAAATAAGTTCAAATTAAGATGCTTTACATTTAAAGCATGGCAGTTTCTTAATGCTATTTATTAACAAAATGAAAAACATTCTTGAGATATGACCCCATTTGTCTAAAGTTAATCAAGTGCTTCAGTAGTACAGAGATGCCAAACTCCACCTAAGCCAAGCCCAATTCACCTCCCAGTTAGCAGAAATGTAGTTTTAGTGTTTAACAGAAATGTTGACATTTAGTGGTGAAGCTGGGACTGATGTAATGATGTAATGACTTTTAATCTAATTTCAGATCTCATAATGATACAAAATTAACACTTATTTCAGGTTACTGTTCCAGTTTATCTTGGGTTTACTGACTTCCAGTAATAAAAGTTGAATCCAAATCAGAAAGAAGTCACTGTCCAGTTTAAAGAAGAATCCTTCAGTAGATTCCACGTAGCGAAGGAAAACATGCAGTGATAAAGATGAAAAAGTGCTCCAAATTCACAGGTGAACAAAAAGACGGATATTTAAAAGCATTTCAGCAGTCTGAGAACTAGACAGGGTATCATCATCCTGCTGAAATGTGAAGGTCCACAGAGCAACCATTTCCATAAACCACACTGAGCTGCCAGGGGATACCAAAAAATCCCTGACTGCTGTTGTGTTTTATCTGTAAAGCTTGGATGTAATGTTACTATGGTGATTTTAGTATGGTGTTTTAAAAGGGGATTATATGCTTAATTTTAACAAGGTTGAGAGCAGAGCATGTGTGAGAAATTCTAGCTGACAATTAAAATTATGGGACAGGGAAAAAAAATCCATGCTTCATTTGTGGCAGAGAAAAGCTTGCTTATGGAACAATTGTGACAAGTTGGGAAGTTCCTCCAAAATAAAACCAAAGATTCTTACATTCAGGTGATCTGCAGAAACTAAATGTGTCTGACAGGTCTTGCTCAAGTGTCAGTTCTTCACATGGAAGGATAAACTTCCAAAGATAAAAAGTTCTTTTCCTAAGATCTTAATATTGATGCTTGTTATTCATAGCTCTATTTTCAAACGGGAAGAAGGTCTATTGAGAGCTTAACAAGGTGGAAGCACCTTGAATTTCACCTCTAAATGAGCAGGCAGAAGATAGTACTGGAGGGAAAGGGAGAGCTAGCTATATCTAACTAACACAAATTAATCGTGTTAGGAAATTTGACTCAGGTGGAGTTCTTCACTCCTGCAGTTTGAATAGTCTCTGTCTTGATCCTGCAGCCATAAGAACAGAAAACTCATGGTTCACTGACTAAAGGAAGGGCCAACTAGTCCCTGGTGATTTTGAACACATAAAAAGAATCAATATATAAAGAATTAAGAATCTGTGTCAATGAGTGCCAAAACCTTCAGCCCAGAGAATGATAAGATACACAGATGATCTTCACTATCCTAAAGATCTTGGTGTCCGATCATCATTTGAAGTGATCTGGCAGAGGCAACAGAACTTCTTCAGTTTATGCCACCTGCCTTAGAAAACCTTCAGCCTTAGAAGAGACACACATGGAGGTGAAGATTTATGTCCTTTCACAGCACTTGTCAAAGAAATACCACTGCTTCATGTCAAAGTCAGAAGACCAAGACTCAGCTGGAATAACACTGAGCACACATCTCCCATCGAGAAGTTTCCACTGAAAGCGTGGCACAACACTGCACATAACACAGAGCATAGTTACAGAAATTAAATTTCCCCAAGTAAAAGTCCTCACAAACGGGGTATAAACTGGGGACAACACTCTAGCAGGACTTGAAAACTCAAGTTCTATGACTCATGATGCTATTTTGGGCTCTGAGTTGATGAAAGGAAACTCAGGTTAGGGTTAGAGTCTATTCTTTAGTGACTACACAGTTCTGATTGCTCATATCAGTGTCTCTTTATCACAATTCATACTGATCCTTTCTCCACAGATCTTGAAGATATATCTTACACAGAGTATTACTCCAACAGAAGGTATTATTCCATGTTCCTAAGTTATTAGAGCAATGAGCCAGTATCTCCAATGTTATGTTAAGAATAATAATTGTACAACCTCTCAATATTGCAGAGATTCTAATACTCAAATGGTCGTGGCCGACAAGGCACACAAGTTACCTGGGAGTAGTTACTAAGTATTTGAAGGGCCTTTACTGAAACCACTTCAGTGTTTCTTTCTCTTTTTGTTCAGAATGAACAAAAATATATATATATATATATATATTAAAAAAAAAAAAACAGCCCTGGAGACTAAGAATTACAGTAACTGGAGCTCTGATCCAACACACCACTTTTCAGACACATACAGAGGGATAAAGTCCCACTAGAGAGTGCTAGTCAACTCTGTAAGACATGACTGTAAAGACCCCTCTGACATATAACTGAAGACAGTGCTGCTTCTAGAAGCAATTTCTTTTCATCTCAATGTAGAAGAAGTGTTTACTGAGAAAATTGAGGGGAATATTAAAGCACCAATTAATTTCATTACGGGGCTATCTGCTCACTACCTTAAATAAGCACATAAATTAGTTATTGGGCTATTATTTTGTTTATTTATTTATTTTTAATCTGATTTAAGAAATGTAGAAATAAATAATCAGTAGTTGGTTAAGAGTAAATAGGGACTAACTAGTGCAAATTCATCACTTGCTGTGTTCCAGGAACAGCCTCTAATAATCAGTGTTCAATCCATTCTGAACTTGGAAGCAGCTAAAAGATGAGGAACATTTTGCACTTCAGATGCACTGTATTATTTTCTCCTTATCATAGTCACATTAAATTCACTTGCACTCAGTGATCTAAGACTATTCACCTTCTTACTGGCAGATTAGCTTTGAACTATGTCAAATTTATATCACAGAGGACTACAACAACTATTTGGTTTTATATCTATGCACACACCTACGCATGCATGCACACTTGTGTGTACGTGTGTACTTTTACATCAAAAAGAGAAGTATCACACACATCTCTTTCTGCTGCCATATTCTTAACTTGGGATGTCCTCTACCTTCTGGAGTACTGAAAGTTGATCCTTATTTTTAAATTATTAAATTATGGGTTACGATCTCTCCTTTATGTTCAAAACTGTTGGCTTACAGTCTTTTCAGAGACAGTCTGTGATATTCAGACAAATAAGCAAATCCAGAAATGGGAATCAGTGTTCATTATGTTCTCATTTGCACCCATATGGGTTTTCAGTGTTCTTATCTTTCAAAATGTTATATTGCTGGGGAAACCCAAAAAAACAACAAAACAAACAAACCCCCTAGGTACAATAAACCTACACACAGTAAGCATGAGTACTTCTAGTAGAAACACAGACATTAGAAAAATATATGTAAATACTTCCTAAGGGGAGGGAACGGGGAAAGAAAAACATGATCAGCAAAAAGTAACTCCAAATCATAAATTTTTGTGGCTTTTAAAGGTCATGCAAGTCAAGGAGCGCTGGTTAAGTTGCTCATGTTGACAGCCCAGGATATCCAGATTCTCTTTTCATGTACAAAGCAGATACAGCAGAGGCACCGGTGTCTCCAGCTGAGCCTCACCCATGGCTCTCAACTCTGATCCGCAGGAACCACCCAGCAGGTTGAAAGAACAAATCATCTGCACGATCCATTCAAGCTTTTGGCTTCCCCAAGCCCCAGATTACAAAGTGTAGCAGTGGTTTTATTATGTACACTCCTATCTCCAGAGAAGCACAGCGAGATTTCACCTCCATTTATAGAGAACTATGAAATAGCAGCTGCCTAAGGAGCAAGTATGTAAATAAATATATAAATAAGGGTTCAAACAAGAAATTATATTAGAAGCAGATGTTGATTTATAAAGAAAATCAATTTCTATGGTAAATATCACCGATTTCACTGAAATGAGAAAGATTTCTAGCAGTTTAATCACAGCTAAGGTCAATTCCATCAATCACAACTGTTCAGTGTGTAAGCTGACCCAAGGCAAGTGATTCTGACCAATTAAATGATGCTCGTGGAGGATACAAACAGTGGTGCATCTTTTCAACATTCGAACCCTTGTTCTTTCACAAAACCATCAAAAATAACCCACAGTAAAAGCAAAACTAAAAAACCTAAAAACATTCTGGAGTTTTCTAAATGACAAGAATGAAACATTCCCAGTTCCTGTCAAATCCACTGTAACTTTACAAGTTTCCCCTCCAAAATTAGAAGCCACATTAAGTGGCCACCAAGTAAAGCACCAACATTCTAGCGAGGTCAAGAGCCTTTAAATGTAAAGCATTTAATTCATAGTTCTACCCAGATTTTGGCAATTAAGAAATAAAATACATACACACACACAAAGCTCTGATATTAACACAGGTATTTGACAATTACCACCCAAGTATTTTCCCAACCAAGCATTACACAGAAGTAAAACAAAATGTTCTTACTGCTGCCACTGAACAGCTCAAACTTTTAAAACTTCTTTTTTTTTGATGGTGCCCATAAAAACCCCAGGAAAAAGTGATTCCGAGACTATAATTTGCACTTGGGTGCTTTAAGTCACAGCCAGGCAGACAGAACATTAAGAATGGTATGGTTTTTATTTTCTACAGTGGTTTTATTGACAAGCTTATTTTCTTGTAAAGTTTGAAAAGCTAACACTACCTGTCCACATAGAAGGGGAAACAAAACTTGGTCAAAGTCTGTAGAACTTCCTGTGGAGAGAAAAAGAGATAATTTATACATCTGTCGGGACCAATAAATCTAATATTAACCACATCACACAATTTCACAACTTTACCCTGAAGAAATAAGAGACAGATGAAGAAATATGGGCTTTATCAATTACATGGAAGGAGTACCAGGCAGTCAATCATGTGAAATAATAAACATGATCAAACTTCATTAAAAATGAAAAATTAATCAAGATTCACACATGGGCAGGCAGCAGGAGCCATCCAGCAATTCTCCAAAGAGTAGAAGGAGGTTGGGTTGTTGAGTGTTAACACCTCTCTGGGGACAGTCTCTACCCTGACCATATGGATCATAGTGAATAACACCAAACCACATGGGTTTGGCCTGGCAGGACCACTTCTGCTGGCACAGCTTTTGACTGTTACCTAGGAACAGAGGTCCGGGGGATTAGAGAATACTTCCTAACATCAGCAAGACAAATAACAAAAGATAAAGCCAATAGGTCTCATAGCAGGAATGTTTAACGTTGCCTCCTGCAACTAGAATGAAAATCTGAGTGTTAAAAGACTAAAATAATATGCATTAAAATTAATACAAATTGGTTAAACTACAAACCATTTCCTAAAAGTTACAAAGCAGCACCACAGAGAAACTTTCAAGTATAGCCTTTGCCTGACATCAAATAAAAAGCACGAATATGAAAACTGAAAACATGCTCAGCAGTGAAATTAATCATTTTTAACTTTACAACTTTAAATAAATACAGAAACAGGTCAGTCCCCAAACGGTTGTGTTCACAGACAAAAGCAACCCATTTACATTGTTCCATGATATTCAAAATTTGAATTCTATAATACACCTCCCACCATAAAGGTCTACAGAGATTTCAGACCTTTGCTACCAGCCAATTCACTGTTCATTCTCCTTCACACTTAAATATTTCAGGACCTGAAATGTAACCTATATTTCTGCTTTCAGCTGAAACAAGATAACCCTGATTACATGACAAATCCTCCAAAACATTCAACACTTCTCTGATCAGTAACAATAAGTTATCACCAATAACTAAATTGATGCTTCTCGCTTCATTTATTTCTAAAACCAATGCCATCATTCAACAAATAAACTACATCAATCTAATAACCTATTCAATGAAGCAGAAAACATATTGACTCCCTTGCAAGAACATGTTCCTCCTACATAATTCAAATAAGCACACCCCATTCTTCGCTATGGTTTTCAGGCTCAACTGCTCACAGACTCCTCTTTGGAGGTTTCTTGACAACTAAAATGTGGCAAGTTCTTAAGGTTTCAGGCACAAGCAGATATGGAAACTTTGACTTCTTGACAGTTTATTGATAGATTATTTAACAACCTCCTGTTTTTAAAGAACAAGAAAGAATCTATTGAAGAATGCCATGCAAAGCAAAGCAATAGCCTCCTTTCGCTTCCAGCAAGAGCCATGGCAAGGAGCTACAGAGGTTTCAGAGTAAACTCTGCAGAAATATGGATTTTGATACAAAATAATGCCTTGATAGTAAAGGGCTTATTACTGTGATTGGGTTCACCCTTGTGCCGAATCCCACTGGCTTCCACAAGATCGACTGTGTGCTGAGCAACTGACTGCTTGTGTGCAAAAACAACATCCTGACAAATCGTAACTACTACACAGTTGTCCTTTACCCACAACTGAAATCCTGATGTGGAAAACATTAAAACAAAGGAAAAACCAAACCACACACAAAAAACCCACACACAAACCCCAGAATTTTAAAAGAATCAAGACTGTAACTGCAGGAGGATAAAGTGCTGACATTTTTATTTGTCTTATCAATACAAACTGTCCTCAAAATAATGACTGTGCATCTAGTTTTCAGAAACAAAGCCATGTAGCTGCTAAATAAATTCTGAACTAAACAGTGTTAAAAGACAACAAGTCAGCAATCACCTCGGAACAGCAGAATATATTCTCTCCATTATTTTGATGATTTAAATAATTACAGTAACAGCAAGTAAAAACCTCCACATAATAAAACACTTTAGCATTTCAGCAGCATTGTGTTATTGTAGGGTAAGGGTATTACTAAAAACTTACTTTGCACTTTCCTCTTGATATTAGAGCTTCCTAAACACAGAAAATGAAATTTCCACTTAAAGAAGCAATATATTGAATTTGTACCATTATATACTGCTTTGTATGTTAAAGAAGATTTTACAGTGATATTATTATGTGGCTTTTAGAATGTATTGCACATAATTTACCACTCACTATGCACCGATACTGACCTGCATTGCTTTACAACTAAAAAATTGAGACTAGTCCGGGTTAACCACAGACAAATTTTGTCAGCATTTCAACTATTAAAAAAATAATATCGAGAAATAGTTTTTAATTAACAAAACTGCTGATCTTTTGCATGTTAGAAATACAAACACTGGAGAAGTATTCAATTTGTGCCCAAGTTGCAAACTCATTACTAGAAATGTAATGCCTTTCTTTTCCTTTAAAAACTGCTCTGTTTGGAAGATGAGCAATCCTACATAACTTTCTACCAGAACGCTTTAGGTGGGTGTTACTTACGGCCTAGGAAAATCATCATTTCTTTATGGTTTCAAACAAAAACCGTAACAAAACCAAACCCAGAATCACTCCATGTTGGTATCTTATAATCCTTTTTATGTTCTTACCTGACATGAAACTCAGGAAGTATCAATAGATCATTTGTTATTTTATTCCCCTATGCCTATTTTCTTAAAGAAAAACCTACATAAAATGCCTCTAAAGCAAAACCCCCTAAAAAGAACAGAACCCTCGAACGATCCAGGACATACAGCTGAGAAGCGTAAATTACCCAGTAGCTGAAACCAGTGTCTCTGGGGTCTCACGTGCCAGTTTTCTGGATCAATCCCCAAGTTTATATTTTCACAAATCTTTTTACATGCAGTTTGATTTTTAACATTTTAATGAGCAAAAAGTGCATCTATAGCAGCCAGTCACCACAGTTAAAGTGCAGGGCATGAACTGTGTTCCCGGAGGGACTGAGCCCAGCCGTGTCACCCGTGGCTTCAGGACATACACCACCTGGTTCCTCGTCCCAAGGTTCCAACTCTTTTCATAATCAAAACACTGCTGACATTATAAACCCCACATGGGTTTTCTAAAATCCTTCCCAATCAATAAAGCCAGTACATAACTTATCGGAGACAACACAGAGCTCATTGATTAAGTTTGGTTTCAGTAGCAAAGTTTGCCAAATAAATGAGGCAGGAATACAGCGTTCAGCCCTTTTGTGTCACGCAGCGATTTATGAAGGTGAGGCAGTCTCTGAAAGGATTTCCTATGCACACACACAAGAGAGAGACTTGAGCAGTTTATGGAAAGCAAAGCTGTTAAATAACACACAATGCACACTTGGCTTATGGCCCAAATTATGAGATGAAATAGTAAAGAAAGCTCAACACTGCTGACAAATCTTGCATATTCACGTGTAAATGGAAAATGCAAGCCCTACCTTAACTCAAGGCTTTTTTCTTTTCAAACATTTCACTGTATGCTCCCATTTCTAAGACAATGGAACAACTTCAGAGCCTCTTCAATATACAGGAGTAGTTTATTTCTCTTGTTCAAATGAACATTAGTAACAAATGTCCAATGCTGCAGCTACAATCAAACAAAACCACACCAATAAAATGAAATGCAAATTGATGGTCTAACACAAGAACTGCAGACTGTTGCAAAGAACCTGCTCTTAGAAAGACGTGTGAGACAACAGATTCAAAGTGGAACAAGAAGCTGGAGGGAAAGAACTTAAAATAGAGGCAGGAAACGGTGAAAAATTATAAACAATTGTGGTAAATTATGAATAATTAAAGCAAAACACTCACATATAAATGTGAGTCAGAGAACAGAAATGATACACCATAAAAACCAACAGGTTGGGGACCTGTACTTGGAATCCTATTAGGAAACCTGGGAAAAGCCAGGATAAAGTTGACAAGACTTCCCAGAGTACAGACAAGACCTTTAGCTGTAATTCTTGGGGAAAACAAACCAATCACACAAAACAACCCCCACAACCCTCTTTCAGGAAGTACATACATTTTACAGAGGAACAATTCAAATATTGCAAGAGAATGGAGCATTGCAAATAAGATGAGTTTTGCATGGAGAGAAGAGATGGCTCAGTGATGAAAAAGACGAATGCTGTTTTATTTCCTTGACCTCAAACCAGAGGTGAACTACAGGTGAGGTTGCTGCAAGTGAAATACTAAACAGAGAGGGTGGAAAGACAAATAGTTTTCACCTTATCCAGCTTGAAATACCTGCTGAATCCATGAACGAAACATGGAATCCTCCTCACATGGAGAGGCACAGAGAGAGTTTCAAGAACACATCAACAGACTGATGAAGGAAGAGAAAGAAGAGCAACAAGGGTGAAGAAGAAGATGGTGCCAGTCAGCCTTATGGCACCAAGGCAAGTGAGAAAGGGGACAGGATCCCAACCTAACCAGCAAGCAACTAGGGATCATTTTATATGTTTAGAAACAACATCAAATTTAAACATTACCAAAATGTTACTATAGCATAAGTGCTAAGACATTAGCTGAAGAAAAATATTATCCAATTATATCTGCCTTGTACATTCATCTATCTTATAGCCACAAAGTTGTAAACTGCTCTTATATTGAATTCATCTGTTTGAATCATTTTAAGCCAACAATTCATTAAATCATCCACTCCAAGGGAACAACAGGTTTAAGAATACAAAAAAAGTTGTCAGTGCCTCCAAATAAGCAACCTAAACATGACAACAACCCTGCCTGAAACCCACAGGGTGGTGAAAGAAAAAGCACAGAGCCACTGAGAACATCACAAATGCTGAGAGCTGTGCAGAGCTGGTCAGAAATTCATGTGCATTTTCCACACAATAACAAGCACCTCAGTAACAAAACATTCAACCAGTCACTTGAACACAGCTCTGAGTAACAAAGAGGGATCAGCACATCTTTTGATTTGAAA